GAGTACCTAAGTATAAATGCGCCTACAGATCTATCACAAAACACAGTGATCTAAGTAAGCATGAAAATTATACAGGTATACGAGTACCTAAGTATAAATGCGCCTACAGATCTAATACATAACACGGACAGTGATCTAAGTAAGCATGCAAATTATACAGGTATACGAGTACCTAAGTATAAATGCGCCTACAGATCTATCACAAAACACAGTGATCTAAGTAAGCATGAAAATTATACAGGTATATGAGTACCTAAGTATAAATGCGCCTACAGATCTATCATAAAACACAGTGATCTAAGTAAGCATGAAAATTATACAGGTATACAAGTACCTAAGTATAAATGTGCCTACAGATCTAATACATAACACGGACAGTGACCTAAGTAAACATGCAAATTATACAGGTATACAAGTACCTAAGCATAAATGCTGCCTACAGATCTAATACAAAGACAATAAACGCACATCACATACATAAAATAACAGCAAAAGGGTTAGATAGGCAGTGATAATGTGTAAGAAAAACCTGAAATCCTTTGATCTTGGGCAATAGTTCATCGAAACATTCTCAGTGACCCTTTGAAATAAAGCGCCACAGTAGAGTCACATGATATCTTATAACGACGTAAATATTGTTTCAGTGATGTAATGTGCCGTCCATTGATAGTGGCATGCTATGTGTTCATGCTGTGTTAATCCGTACGATGACATGCATTACGCAAGTATTCCCTATGCAATGAATAGAAATGAAATCTGAGACGAGCACTTTGAAAGTGCTGCTTCACGCCGGTAACTAAGCCGTGTAGCTCATCATGCCCTGCTATAATTGTTGAATGTAGTAGCAATCATATATTAATGTTGATACCTTAATATTATTGTCAGATGGCTACTCCAAGTGAATCATCATGGTATATCAGTAGTAAAGAAAGTACCAAGTGAGGAGGATTCCATTCTTAAGGTATCAAAAACTGTAGTTCCCATGGCAACACTCCTATTAATTCGTTTATTTGATATTCTAATTAATAATGTAAGTGTGACCCAACACACTCCACAAAATAATAAAGAATAAAGTTTCCAGGGGGTGAGGGGTGGTGATCGTCTGAAAAGGGTGAGTTATATATTGTGTGGTTCTGGAAAAATTCAACACCCCACCATGGAGGAAATTTGAAAAAAAAAACCTCAACTGTCTAAAATGTCCAATTTTCTTCCATTCTTCCATATGATTCTTATTTTGTTTTTCCTGTGACCCCCCCTCCGTCCCTGTCCCTGTCCCCGTCCCTGATTTCCTCCATGGTGGGTAAGGGTATTTTCTGGAGCCACACATTTAACATTTAAGAAGACTTTAACTGCGTACACCCCCTTCCTATGAAGGGGGATTGGAAATTTATTAACAACATTTATTTAATTTCTAGGTTGCAAGAAAGATGGGCCCAGTACTTAGGACCATTTATGGAGAGGTACAGCTTTAATTCAATAAGATTTGCCTCAGAAATCAATAAGAAGTAACACTGATTTGTGGCTTTTTCTTTTGCTCTTTGGTTTTCCTCCCTCCTGAAAACCTAACACACTCAATTATGTTTCAAATCTTTTGAAAGATTCTTCCGTTGAGCACAAAATTAATAGAATCAATTATTTAATTATTATTGATGGTTTTCAACCATTCCCAAGAGAATTAAATAACAAAAGACAAGGCGGCTATGTTGGAGGATATAACCAAAGAATTCATCGACAATTCTTTTGTTAAGTTCCTCCAATATGGCCACTGTGAAAACCATCAATTAATATATCAAATATAAATATTGTTTTCTGTAACAAAGAAAGTATTTTTCATTGCTACTAATTCTATTATACTCAGTATTAAGGGTATTATTATGTACCAAGGAAGAACAAAACAATCAATCACCATATGCAACCTCTCTGCTTTCAAACTCTGTGAGAGTTGAGAAAATTGATAAATAAATTGAATGTTTCTGGTGCAGGTTTTTGATGTGATAAGCACACCAAAGCCAATCAACATTGCATATTCAAGTTCCTATCTACCTTTACACATGGATTTGGCCTATTATCAATCACCTCCTGGAATCCAGTTACTTCACTGCTTCAGGTATTTTGATTTCTTTGTTTCAATATCTTTAGTCACCCAGAAAGCTGATAGGACTTAAAGGCAGTGACAATCTAGACTGTTTTTGAATTAGTCAAATACTTCTGTGTTTCTTGAGTACAGTCACATTTATTCAAGGTTAGCCTTGTACGTATCAGTGTCTAAATATTCACAAATACCAATGGTAAAGTAAGGAATGCACAACTTCAACAGTACAAACACTTTGAAATTTCATGGAACTTCACTGCAACACATGAATATTCAAATTAATTGGATTAAGGAAATAAGGCTATACCTGCTGTTTAATAGAGAATTTGAAACTGGAGTATTAAGATGCATGCATTAAGAGTTAATTATGGTTGTGAATGAACATGTTGCTTGATATAATAATAGAGATGATCATATGATTGTAATAAGTTTCCTTTCCCTATAGATTTGATCCACAAGTTGCTGGTGGAGAAAGCATCTTTCTGGATGTTTTTGCAGTTGCTGAAAGCTTCAGGGAGACACATCCTGAAGAATTTAACACCCTCGTTCGTGTTCCAGCAACATTCCAGAAGATACACTTTGAAAGGTACCCTTGAAAACATGCCCAGCTACATATACACATAGAGCTACCATGTATAAATGACATTAATAAATGTTTATCGTCATCATCATGATATGTATCATCATCACCATTGTCATCATTTGCAACATCATCATTATCATCACAGTCATCATCATCATTATCACCACATGCACAGTCATCATCATCATATATCATCATCATCATGTATCATCATCATCATGTATCATCATCATCATGTATCATCATCAATTATTATGATCATGTATCATCATCACTATCATTATCATCATCTACAACATTATCATCTACAACAACATTATCATTATCATATATCATCATCATCATGTATCATCATCTTTCAAACCACTTGCCTATGCCTCATGATTTTAACCTGCCATCAAAACACTCCTGTTCACTTATTAAACGGTACTTACATGTAATAGCCGGTTTTCAAACTGGACATATTCATGCAACTATATCCTATGTTCATCTAGATCTTATGGTGTAAAAAATTTGTCATTTTATCTTGTTTGAATACTTATTTAATTAATTATTAATGTTGTTATGTTCTTAGAGATTATCCAGTATACTTGAAGTATCAACGGCCTCATATATCTCTGAACCACAGGAAAGAGGTAGCTATAGTTCACACAGTTTTTGCTAAAGAAAACTTTATCCACCTGTATCAACTACACGTGATAACCATGCACAAGAAAGGGATGCATGCACACCTTATTTCACTTGTGTTGGTCCAGGGGTTTTCAAAATTCTATAGTTAAAAACTGGTGGTGGCTCAAATGAATCTTCATTGACAAACAATAATATTGTTTAATAGATTGTGGCTATCACCTGGTCTCCACCTTTTGAGGGCCCTTTGTTTGTTGATGAGGTAGGTGTATAAACTGCATGTATATGTATATAGGTTCAGAGTAGAATCAGGATGATTCTGAAGAAGGCTAATCACTAGTTATAGCCGAAACGTCATGTTCTCAAAAAATCTATGCGTTTTATCTGTAATCTTAAATTTAATAGAATCAGGAAATTATCAAGTATTACTCTGAATCCTTTCCCTTGTACAGCATTCTGATAATGGCTGTCAAAGTGTACAAAAACGAGGTCACCAGGTCTTTATAGTTCACATAGTCCACATAGTTCACAATAAAAGATATAAAAGCACATGAAAATGAAATGTGTTTGTTATAGAAGAAAATTGACATTTTGTTTTGACCTGAATTTGCGCTATCCACCTTTATTTTGAATAAGCAGCCTTGCTCTGCCTTGCAAGATGACTGATGGCCTCATTTCTATGTGCTCATCAGCCATTATTATCATAATGCTGTGTTGTATTGAGACTTTTCTGCAAAAAAAATTGTATCCCCGTCAAATAAACCAGAGACTAATGAGACCCATCAAAAATGGGAGGAAGAAAACTAATATTGTGCATTTCAGGGGGGGGGGGGGGGTAGTAGAGGTGCCACAGTTCCTTTCTGAAATCCATGACCCAACTATACATATTTAAGTCCAAAACTGCTGACCAGTTTTTACAATCTACATAAAATTTACATTACCTTTTGTCCCATGATTTTATAGAGACATTGCTTTCAATTCCCCATCTTAGTTTTAGGAGTCAGAAATTTATGTGTGTATGTTTAGGTTAGGAACTTGCTGAACTTATTTTTATCAAACTCTGAATAAAAAATTTTCAGGATGATGTAGAAGCATATTACAACGCTTATCGGAAATTCAATGATGCGATTGAAAAATCACCTTTACTGGTAAGAATCCATCCTTTCATTCACCTTCCTTCCTTCCTTCCTTCCTTCCTCCCTCCCTCCCTCCC